TTCTCTCGACTAATGGTCTTCTTTTTTCAGTCTTGGTCTTCATAACTGGAAAAAGTGTAATCTCTCTAGTATCCAGTTTACCTTGTTTCCATCATAGAGTAAATTGTTTAATATAATCAGTTGGAATCTTTGGTGTAATAGGAACTGTGTGGTTATTTAAAATTCTCATTTATTCTATGATGCTTTGTTGAACAAAATAATTAATGATTTTGACTGTATGGTTCTTTGAGACAGGGGCAACCAGAATCATACTGTTGATGGTTTGGAACCTAGAAGCCTTGTTAAGTGGATTCCTCCTCCAAGGGACCAATTCAAGCTGAACACTGATGGAGCTTCTCTTATTTCTGTTGGTAGTTCTAGCTGCGGGGGTTTGCTGCGTGACCATAAGGGGACCTTTTTGGCTGGGTTTTATAAGGTACTCCTTCCTTATTCCCCCACTGCTGTAGAACTTTAAAAAATTTATTGGGGTCATGAGAGTGTTGTCTCTAGGAATATCAATGTAATTTAGGTTGAATGTGATTCTAAGGATGCTATTTCCTTAGCAACTAATGTTCAAAGTAGTGCTCATCCGTTTTTTTTATCATTGATAAAATTAGGAACATTCTTAGGAGATTTAAGTTTGTTAGACTAAACCATATTTTGAGAGAGGCCAACCATTGTGCTAATTGGTTAACTAAACATGGGACTGAGGATGACATATCTTATTTTACTAGGGCTCTCTCTTCCCTTGATCCCTCCTAATGCTGGATTCTTTAGGAGTTTCTTGGCCTAGAATGTTTGCTTAGGCTTTTGTATTTTTTTTAGACTTTTTGCTCTCTTTAATATAAAAAAAAATAAAATACAATCATATTATGTCTTTGGTGGGAAACTTCTCATGTCACATTAATGATGACAGTAAAGATATTAAACTAAGCTTGATTTAATGAATCAGCCTGCCTAACTAAAAATGCGGATCAAATTGAATGTTTTGGATCTGTTTGTTCGCTTAACCTGCTCCATTTTAACATGTCAAAATAAGGACCAATGGTAAGGTCGTACGGACTAACCTGTCAAACTCATTTTTAATTTTTAAAATTTAAAACTAATTATTTATTAATTAAATGTTAATTTTTATTAATATAATTTTATTATTGTTTTTGTATTTTTTATTTTTAATAAATTAATCCATTAATGTATTGATTCAACGATCCTTTCTTATTTTATTTTATCTTTGGTGGATGCATCATTATTCTACAACCCACCTTTAGATGAAACAGGGCAGACTAGCTTGTTTTTGAATAAGTTAAGACAAATTGACTCGTTTTAACCATTATTTTGATACTTTCGTTGACAATCTCCTGTTTTAACAACAAAATTTTAAGATGATATTTTAAAAAATTAATGTAAAAACGTGACAAAATATAGAATAAAGATAAAAAAAATCAACCTCTTTTAGTTTTAACAAAAAAGGATAACCAAAAATAGGAATATGAATTATTATAACAGGTTCATATTTAAAGACAATATCTCTATATTTTTTAATTCCTCACAGTAGTCATTGAAGGATTCCTATTTAGGGTTGATGCCGAAGTAGCACAAATATCGAACACTTTTATCAAATGGAGATCTAAAAATGTAACTGTATGAAGAGGAAGATATCAGATAGAAATATCTTTTAAGTAAATTTGAACTTTAAAGAGTATATAGTACCAGGTAAGGTTACAATACAAATTTAACTATACACAAAAACAATAATAATATTCTTACACTCACGATGGAATGTAAGATATATGTACGACAAAGTGGGATAAAAAGTGATAAAAATAAATAAAAAATGTGATAGATGATATAAAAATATATAAATAAATTTGAGAATATTATTATTAATACAAAAGCTCGAGACAAAACAAGAAAGGACAATTGAAGGGGAAAAAGAGTCAAAGCAACAACATGCAACCAAATAGAGATGCTAAGAACAAGAGGATTGTACCTTCAATGTGGCCGTGAAAGGAGACCTTTGATTAGCTGAAAGTAAAATGAATGAATAAATAAACAAATAAATAAAATAAAAGTTACAACACAAGCCAGCAGTTCACGTGAATAATTCAACTCTGTAAGATTGTAATAATGCAAAGCGCAAACACATTATCAGCTGTCTCCAGATAGTCAGAAATTGAGTCAATTACAAACACGCGGAAGCTTCCATACTTAGTTACCCCAACAGTTCATAAGTCAACATCAGCAATGTTCCCAACCTTTTTGTATTTTGATTATTAAAGGTAAAGAGGATACCCCATTTTTATGTCTCGTTAAAATATATTTATTATTAAAAAATAATTAACATATTTTTATAACATTTTTTATATTTTAATAAATTATAAACAGTTGAATGCACGGATATAAATGAAAAAAAATTGCATCACATCTAAGTAAAAAAAATACATTAATTATATTGGTATCCAAATTATATAAGTAAATGTTTTTTTTAAGTGTCTTACAGTTTTTATATAATTATTTCTTTTTATTTAAACTCAGTTTATGCTTTTTTATTATTCTCATACATCATACATCAGTGAATTACATGAGTGGTTTTTTATTTGTATATGGTAATTACCAATAATTAATATTAAAATGTCAAATTTTTAAAAAGTTACAAAATATAAAATTCAAAAATGAAAGTTTTTAACACAAATAAAGATATTAAGGAATGAAATAATAAACAATTTTAAAGTGTAAAAAATCGTTGAGAGTGATTTTTTAATAAATATTAAAAAAATTTAAAAATAAAATCATTAATAATATTTTTTAAAAATAAAAAAAGAATTTGTCAATAACAACTTTTTAACTTTGGCAAAATTTAATACTAATTTTATCATATTATAATCAAATTTAATAATAAAGTGGTTTATTAAATTTGAACATAAAAAATAACTATAATAAAATTTCACAAAATGAAAAGATAAAGAGATGAGTTATTAAAAATAATAGAGATAAAAAAAAATTTCAACTAAAATTTGAAAAATTACTTAAAAAAAAGCTATTATAACATTTTAAAAAGTACTAAGAATTACTTATTTTAACTACCTTATTAAATAAAATTGTTTTTGTTAAACAAAATTTTCAATTAACAAATAAGTTTTATCTAAGTAAAATAGTTTACTAAACATAATCGTAGAGTTTAATAAATTTTATTAGTTTATTTAGTAGTTAAGATAAAATTCAATAAAATAAAAATTACAGTAAAATATAAAAAAAAAAATGTGAGTAAAATAATCTTTTATATGATTGAGTATGTGGTACTTATGAGACAAGCTAATAGATAATAATATAAAATATATTTAAATAATAATAATAAATTATGCCAATAATAAATAACAGTAATACATTATATTTTTAATATTTTATATTGTTAAATGTGTGAAATATGAATAATAGAATAATATTTATTAATTTAAATAAATCACATATGAATTTTTAAAATATAATTTAATTTAATTGTAAAGAAATTTAAAAGGTAAATACCAACAAGTATTATTAAGTGATGGTTAAGAAATTAAAGTATAATATATATTTAAATGAGAAAATATTTATTATAAGTAAAATATTTAATTGATTAAAAACATTTAATATAATGTAGTAAATATTTATTGAAAGAATCTAATTAAAACATTTTATAACTAGATTAATCATTTCAAAAGCATATTTTAATTTTAAATTTTGAAACCAAAATGTAAAAAATTACTAAAAATGTTTATCTTATTAGGGAGAAAATATAATTAATGTAATTTAATGATCCCAATCTTATCGGGTATGGCATATTTATTTGAATACAACACATGGGAGCGCCTGAACCTTCCAAATTAACGAAAGCAAACAAGAGTTTCACAGAATGTCACTTCTAAATTCCAACTTAGACGGCAAGGTTAGGCTACCGTCCCTGCAAGTTGAATTTTTTTCATTTTGTTTCGACTCTTCTGCTATTTAATAATTATATAGTTATATCATTGATATAATAATATTTTATAATTTTTTTAATATACTTTTTATTACATTAATTATTTATTATTTATTTAATTTTCTTTATTTCTTTATCAAACACGCACATATATAAATTATATAATCAGAACTCACCACTGCTGTCAGTTGCATTGTTACCCCCATAACTGTGCCACCCACCATGTGACCCACCTCTTTACCCCACCAATACTTCCTTTGCTGTTTTGACATTAAAACTCGTACTTTTCGATCAAATGTACTTGACACTTTTACAGTTGAGATTAGTTTGTATAAATATTTTATTTATGATCAATATTTTTAAATTGATTAGTTAATAAGAATGCATGTTAAAAAGTTAAAATAAAAAGTATTATTTTTTCATTATCTTTGAATTATAAAAAAGTTAATATATTTTATAATAATTTAAAATATTTAATATAATATATTTAATTTTCTTAATATTTATATTTAAGTGCACGTTAAAAAATTAATATGAAATTTGAATCCTCGATCGTGAATATGAATTTTGTTCTTTCATCAATTTTTATTTGTTTCAATTATTATTTTTTAGTTTAATTTTAAATTTTAAATATCAGTATGTTATATGAAATTAAAGATCAATCTTAATTTTAGGATTAACTTAATCTTAATTTTATTTTAATTTTTAAATTCTAACACGCCACACAAATAAAAAAAAGTTTAAATGAATTCTTAATTGAAAATTTAAAATTTGATATTACTCTTTAGAGCATTACCAATTATGAATAAATTTTTTATTTATTTATAATAAAAGTGGGCAAAAAACAAAAGCTCCTTGAAGCAGTTAATAATACAGTGCTAGCTTTAAATTAATAATATTCTAAAAGCAGTATGTATATAAAAGTCCAACATGTTTATTCGAGTAACATGAAATTTAATCCTTAGAGTAATTATCCCAATTTAAATTAATGAGCCTAAGTCTAGTGACCACGTGCTATCACAATTTCTGTTTTATATATATGCACATATACAATTAATTACTAGCCATGTGTCTGCCTTCAAGTTGAACCCAAATAGCACAAAATAAACACACACAACAAAACCAAGCCAAAGAGTGCTGAGATGGCCGCCACATTATCCTCTGATTCCGATGACCTCCGTTCACCGATGCTTCCGCCATCATCGAAGTCGCCAGCATCGGAAAAGCTGTGCATCGACGAGATGCTGCAGAAGTACTGCGGGGAGTTCGGACGGTGGCAGCTGAAGCACTTCATCCTCACGAGCCTCGCTTGGGCTCTCGAGGCCTTTCACACCATGGTCATGATCTTTGCAGAACGTGAACCTGATTGGAGGTGCGTCTCTGGCGCCGCCTGTGACGGCGGAGGAAACATCTGCGACCTCTCGCCAAAGTCATGGGAATGGATCGGCGGCAGCGGCAGCTCCACGGTGTCGGAGTGGAGTTTAATTTGCGGTGAAAAGTTTAAAGTTGGATTGGTTCAGGCCGTGTTCTTCGCCGGTTGCATGATTGGTTAGTTGCTTCACTTTCTCTTATCTCTTTCTCTGTTATTTTGTTTTCTAGGTTCTTCTTCTAAAACATTCGTTTTGATCTGCATAATCTTGAATTATTTGATGAAAATTTGATTAAAAAAATTATAACAAGATTATTTTATTTGACTTTAGCGATTGGCATTGAAAAACGTGTCAAAGAAGGTTGTAGATGATAGTTTTTTATTCAATTTTATTGAGAAGTATAACAAATTTTATGCAATTTTAACTCGAAGTTTCGTCCTGGATATATTTTATTTTTTTAATGAAGAGTGAGCAGGGAATGAATTACAAAATTTCAGAAGGAAATATGAATAGTATTATGGATGGTTTTTGTTTACTTTTGGAGTTTTAGTGGTCCTTGTTTAAGAAGGAACCAATATTTTTATTTTTTGAATTTTTGAAATTTGATTATAATTATGGAAAAGGGCGAATGATGAATAGCGAGATAAGCGTGACAATAGAGATTCAGAAAATATTGAAAAGTCTGTTACCGGGTGAGTTGGACTGGGAAGTTGAGATTAAAGTCTAAAAAGTGTGAATCAGAAACGGAACAAAGCCAACCTTTTTGTTTGTCGTTTTCCCTGTTAGATTTATTTGGCTTTCATTTTTTAATTTAAGTTGTCGTTTTACCTGAGTGTACTGTTTTTGAATACTTGAATTTCAAAGAACGAGTGGATGACAACTTTTAACTTATTCATTTAGGATTGTTTATTTCACATATATCATTTTTTTTCTTTCCTTTGGGAAAAACGTTAATCTCTTTTTATAATTTTACAATAAATTTTTTAATTATTAATATAAGATAAAATAAAAAATATATAAGTGACAAGGATAATAAAAGAAAAAAAAGTGTCACAAACATGAAAGAAAAATAATATTTTATTCAATTTTTTTAACATGTAGAATATTGCACAACATAAATACATACATATATAACAAATGTTTATTAAAAATTATAAAATTTATTAATACTAATACATTTAATTACATTGAATTTTTTAATTTTTTGTTATAATTTCTTATATGCACTAATATTGAATCGTTATTTATTTTATATATCACTATCGTGACATTACTTATTTTTTTTAATAAATTTTAAGTAATAAAATTAGATAAAGAATTTCTTTTAACGCACCAACTTCTTTCTATGTAACAACAAAATGTTATCAAAGAGGTGTGTAGGCTCCATTGAATATTCAATACTCATCTCCGTGAGTGCTCATAGGGTATTCTTCAAAAATAAAAATAGCATGAAGCCCAATTAGTGTAGGCTGCAAATTCATAGGTGATGTCATGGTAGGAATTCAAATGGTCTTTCTCTTCCTCAACATATAATCAAAATATCATACAAATTAAGTCAATATTTAACTAAGCAATATTTTTTTAATGTGTATTGGTGTGTTCTTGAAGTTTTTAGTTATATTTTTTATAAGATACTTTATAATTTTATGAAGCATTTATTATACTTTTTTATTTGTTCATAATAAATAGAGCTAGTAGGAATCTAAATTAAAACTAAGAATGTAAAAATTGATAGTTGTTCAACAGAAAAAAGATATATTTTTCATCTTGAAATATGTTTTAAAAATTAAAATTTTTAACTAACTTTAATTACTTTTGTTGGTGTGTGTAATTTAGTTAGTATCGGATGGAGTATTACATGTATATTTGGTGAATATATATATATATAATGAACTATTAATATTTTTAATTAAATTCACATAGTTAGTTATATAGATAGATAGATATAGATTAGAATGAAGATAGAAAGAGAAATTGTGCTAGTAAAAAATGAAAAGGATAGGTATGTGCACATCATATAGTTATTAGTTTATCAGATAGTTACAATATGACCAATATGGCAGCCGGCGTGCAGGGATGTTGATTGAAAGTGCGCTCAATCAATAAAATTTTGACAGTGATTTGTTTTTATATTTGACAAACGTTGGTCCAAAATCGTCCATAGGGGTGTATGCCAAGAATATGCCATATTGAAGATACACATCTCCCTTCATTATTTCTGTTTATTAATTAATGATCAGCGTATTATTATTTATGTTTATACCGTAGGCCATAGCTCTCCAAGCCATGAGTGGAACCTTCAACATGAATTCATACTGGAACAAAGCTACTCTCACATGATGATCACTTTAACTACATAATTAAGAGAAATTAACTTGCATCAGTGTAAACATGTAAAGACTCAGGTGAGAGCAATAATATCATTCACGTAGAACATTAACTGTTTTATTTTTTCCTGTGATCCAACACTGATTTTCTTCCGTTTGCTAAACAATGGCAGACATTTAAATTAAACAGTTCACAGAGTAAGACTAATGACTAATGGCACATATATAACAACAAAACATTGACATTTGATATTGATATTTCAGGTGCTGGAATATTTGGTCATCTCTCAGACTCCTCTTTAGGAAGAAAAGGCACCCTCACAGTGGTTTGTGCCCTTAATGCCATTTTTGGGTGCTTAACAGCATTCTCCCCTAACTACTTCATCTACGTCCTCCTTCGACTCCTCACAGGTTTCAGCACTGGTGGCGTTGGTCTATGCGCCTTCGTCCTAGCCACCGAGCCAATAGGCCCCACAAAGCGCGGCGCGGCGGGGATGTCCACCTTCTACTTCTTCTCAGGTGGCATTGCTATTCTCTCGGGAATCGCTTACATATTCCAAACATGGCGCTATCTTTACATAGCTTCCTCCATCCCCTCCATCTTCTACATTATCCTTGTCCTTCCCTTTTTATCTGAGTCCCCAAGATGGTACCTTGTTCGTGGTAGAGTAAGTGAAGCCACGAAACTCATGTCCACCATTGCTTCCTCCAACGGGAAGCACCTTCCTGATGGTGTTTTCCTCGCTCTTGATGAAGAAGCATCGGAACCCAGCAACGACGGGTCGGGCTATGACATAACCTTGAAGAACCAAAGCTTGGAAAATAAAGATGCACACATTGGGTCTATATTAGACGTGATTCGTTCCCCTGTTACCCGTGTAAGGTTGGTTCTAGCGGTTGTTCTTAACTTCTTGGGATCCGTAGTTTACTATGGTCTTAGTTTGAACGTCATGAACCTCGAAACCAACCTTTACTTTAACGTTATATTGAATTCCGTGGCGGAAATGCCCGCGTTTACGATAACGGCGGTGCTTTTGGATAGATTTGGAAGGAAACCGTTGACGGTGGCGACGATGTGGTTTAGTGGGGTGTTTTGTTTGATGGGGAGCTTAGTGGGTAACGTTGGGGTGTGGAAGGTTGTGAGAATGGGGTGTGGTGTTTTGGGGATTTTTGGAATGGCGGGTACTTATAATTTATTGTTTATTTATACGGCGGAGCTCTTTCCTACTGTGGTGAGGAACGCCGCGCTTGGGAGTACAACTCAGGCGGCGCAGATGGGTGCTATTTTGGCGCCTTTTGTCGTCGTTTTGGGTGCTTGGATGCCGTTTGCGGTGTTTGCGGCGTGCGGAATAGTTGGAGGAGCACTTGCGTTTTATCTTCCGGAGACGTTGAACCAACCACTTTACGATACCTTTGGTGGAATGGAAGCTGGACTCGCTTGATCTGTTAGTGGCTGCTTGTGGTTAACTGTTACTGACCTTATTTATGTTTGATTTTGATGGACGCTTATGCGTGTTTGTGGTTACCGGTTTTTCTTTTTGTTTGGTTTGTTTTTGGTCAAATTTTTTAGATTAGAGAAATGGTACATATTTTCTAAGAATTTAAACAACTACGACCATGACAAAAAAGAAAAAAATAACTACGACCAAATAATTTTTTGTCCGTACAGTAAATGAAAGTATAATTAATTAAATTTCATTAAATGCACAAGCATCATCAATATTAATTGGTGTTTTTCTTTTCGCTATATAAAAAAGTTAAAAGCCCAAAAACAAAAACTAGGACACAAATCTAGGAGACCAAGAGCTAAGAGAGTCAAGGCATACTGAGCATTGGTCGGGTTCGGTCTCAATAATTTAGAATCGTTGAAATCCGAACATATTAAGGACCGATTCCGTCCAAACTGATTATTGAATAAATCGGTTTTATTTAGTTAGATTTTTAATTAGTCAGACGGTTTGATTCGATTGTGATTAGATATAAATTGGACTAAATTTATGTATAAAATATTAAAAACATAAAATAAAAATTGTTCCTGTTTGAGAAATGATTGTCTTCAAACTTCTGATCAGGCGTCTTTCTGATGATTTACTGATATGGAGGGTACTTGCAAAAAGCACTCTGATGGTAAAGTCAGGATTCGGTTCTAAGCAATAAATGTTATTTAATGATGAGAAGTCAACTTTTTATCTGTATTTCCTACCTTCCTTTTATAGGCATTCTATTGGGCTGATGGGCCTGAGTCAGCCTTTATACTGTGGCCCATTAGCCTGGTTTAAATAATATTTTGATTATTATCTTTAATTGGATTATTTACCTTTTAATCCTGACGAGGGGTACCCGGTCTAGTATGCCGAGTAGGTATTCGGTTTCTTTTCCTATGGGTGGAACCGAGTTGACTCCTTTCCCAGTACACTATCCCCACAAGCCCGGCGAGTTGCGAAGGAAGGGCTTTTAAATGCAAATGGTAATGTTACAATAGGTATTCGGTCGAAGTGTTTCTCACTATGCCGAGAGGGTCATTCGGTTAGGGTAAATTACAATACATCGTGGGGGGTGTCCGGTCTCGAGTGATGGTGACATTTAAACAATGTATTAAGTTTTATACTAAGAGGTAATCAGTTTAGTAACAACACGATACAGACCGAGATTATAATATAAATAATAAATTTGCGAAGGAATATTCTAGAATGTTGGTTTTGAGGGTTTGTTAGAGGGTATATGAAACGAAAGGATGCTCTATCTCATCTGTTGATCTGGAAGGGATCTGACGGTTTGAAACGAAAAGGCGTCTTTTCATTTGCCCGACATCAGTCCCTTATAAATATGTGGTGGTCCCTGCATCCCTTTCTTACTCTTTTGCTCTGTGCCGAACCCTGCATACCTTTGCTCCAAACCGACGAGTGTTCAGAGATCTTAGGCTTTTCTTCCTTACCGACTACTTGTAAGGTGCGTTTCATTTTTTTTTTTACTTCTTTTCTATCATGGCTGATCGTATCGAGTGGGAGGATTCCTTGTCGAATGCCTCGGGGCCGAGTACCATTGAGGTCGATATTATGAATGGAACTGAGGGGAGTGGCGAAGTTTCGTTTATTTCAAATCGGAAGGCTGAAGAGGCACAGGTCAGGGAATGTAGTGACGAAGCCGAGACGTCAGCGTCAAGTGATACTGATGCTCATGAACCCCTACCGAGTACTAGTCCTCCTCGAGAAAGGCAAGTGTTTCCTCCCTGTACGGTACCTGGTTACGAGTGGGTGCACGGTGAGGTGGCCGCATACTTTTCTCGTTTTAAAAGAAATAAAAGTCTTCAACTCTTTGTAGATAATTGTGATATTTCTTTATGGGAGGCTTGTGACCCGTATCCTATACACCTTGACCCCTGTAAAGGGGACGAGGGCGAGAACCCAGACTTTGTTTTCCTGGGAGGTGTCGGGATGGCCGACACCTTCTTCATGTATGAGTACATGTTTAGGGAATTAGGTATCAGGCTACCCTTTGACAATTTCCAAATGGGGGTTTTGAGGGTATTGAATGTAGCGCCAACACAACTACACCCGAACGGGTGGGCGGCAATTCAAGCCTTTAGGATACTTTGTAAGTTCCATTATATAGAGCCTAGTGTAGGTCTTTTTCTTCATTTTTTTTGTACACGTCCATCTAACCTGGCGAGGTGGGTATCTCTAATAAGGCAACCCAAGTTGCCCTTATTTAAGCCATATGCTTCGTCTTTTAAGGGTTTCAAGACCGATTTCTTCAAGGTAACCATGGACCTTGTAGGTAAAAACTATTTTTTTGATAGCGAGAACAATCCTCTATTCCCTTTTCACTGGACTCGGGTGTCGCGCCGATACGACACATTCCCTGAGGATATGTTATCGGCTAGGGAGCTGTCGGATTTGCAATTCCTGAAGTCCCTTCCCCAGGACCTTCCTGCCCGACATGTAGTCCTCGTGCTCAAGTCTTTGCGTCCTCGGTGGGATATGGAGGGTATGTGTCATTTCGTTTCTGACTTGTATTTGGAATTGAGCTATATTGATTTGACTTGCTATTGTTAATGCAGGCTTAATGGCTCAGCGAGGTGTTAATGTACCGACCTTCCGGCGCACTCTGAAGCAAAGAATGCCAGAGGGAACGCCTGTTGAGGAGCATCGCCATCCTCATATTGACCAACTTCCCGAGGTGCCAGAACCTCGCCCTCCTCCCCAAGATGTTGTTCCGGTCGAAGGCCCTTCCAAGAAACGCAAGGACAAGGGTAAAGGCAAGGAACCCGAACGAGAAAGAAAGAGAAGGCATGCCCATTCGGGTGAGCCTGGCGGCGTTCAAGGGGCTCGGAAGCAAACCCGAGTGGTGGCTACTGCGGAGGGAAGCAGTTCTTCTTCCCCTGTAGTTCCCTTGGACATGCTGGCCGAGGGCTTCTTGGTGAACGGGACACATGCCGGTCGGCTCGCTGCTCCCAACCTGTTATCTGATGCAGGGAAAGAACTGGTCGACAGTCTGGACTTCGAATCACTATGGCGCTACTACGCAGAACTTCATGTACGGTCCACAGCAATGCTCCGAAAGCTAGTTGTGGATCCTATTATCGAAGTTAAGAAGTTAAAGGCTGCCTATTCGGCTTCTGAAGAAGCTTTGGCAGAGAGTAGAGAGATTCAAGCCAGTCTGGACGAGACCGTTCAATCCCTGCAGGGTCAGGTTAACCAATACAAAGAACACTTTCAAATAATGGAAGACCGAGTGCACGCTACAGAGGAGGTGGCGAGGATCAAGGGGGAGGAGATGCAGGCGTTAAGGGAAAAGTCCTGTCAAATGGAGGAGGCTTTACGGGTCAAATCTGCCGAGATGGAAGAAGCCTTGGCGCTGGAAAAGCAAAAGGCTGAAACCGAGATGAGAAACTTTGCCGAGAAGTGTTCTCAGCAAGTATCCTATGAACATGAAGCCGGTTTTAACCATGCTATTTGCCAGTGTCATGGGTTCTGCCAAGTACCGGCAGACTTTCATTTTGATATTACAAAGGACTTTTTTGGCGGGAGGTTCATTCCTTACACCGAGGTTGAGGACGAGGTAGAACCTGATGCTGAAGTGTCGAGACGCCTCCCTAAGGATGCTGCTAACCCTGAGGCAGCCGCTCCCGAGGCAGCGGAAAGGATAGAAAGTTAAATTATTTTGCCTTCTGTATTCATGAGTCATTAGTGCCCAAATTTTGTAACTAGTTATTTTGAAATAGAATTTTGTCTTTCTTTCTCATGCTTTGTATCTTGGTCATATATAACTTGCACTAATATATGATATGCTTAATATACTCATCCTAAGCCGAATAGGGGACACGGGAGATAATTTCATCTTAAAAATTCAGCCTTAACCAAGTGATAACTAAGAGGGACTCGTAATTCGTTAATTTTGACCGAGTGGGGGTATTCGGGATTGAGATAGTTCGACCTTTAGCCAAGTGACACTTGGGAGGAAAATATGATTAATTCATCCTTGACCGAGTGGGGGTACTCGGGAGGGAAATAATTCAACCTTAGCCAAGTGAAACTTGGGAGGGACATATAATTGATTCATCCTTGACCGAGTAGGGGTACTCGGGAGGGAAATAATTCAACCTTAGCCAAGTGAAACTTGGGAGGAAAATATAATTGATTCATCCTTAACCGAGTGGGGGTACTCGGGAGGGAAATAATTCAACCTTAGCCAAGCGAAACTTAGGAGAGAAATATAATTGATTCATCCTTGACCAAGTGGGGGTACTCGGGAGGGAAATAATTCAACCTTAGCCAAGTAAAACTTGGGAGGGAATGGCACTTGAAAGATGTTTAGTGCATAAAAAATCGTATAGGTGAAAAAGAAGAATTTTATTGATTAGGTGCCTCGTTAAAAACCTTCTCAGGAAAACTCTTTTTCACTTTCTTTTAAGAGGATAAAACCTGGGATAGGAAAAGAGTATACATGTGTATGTATTACAAGGTTTTAACTATACTAATGCTTCAAATAAGTGACATTCCAGGTTCTCAGTATTAATTTTCCTTCCAACGTTTCCAACCTGTATGCTCCGTTATTTAATTTTTCCGTTACCCGAAAGGGGCCTTCCCAGTTAGCTGCCAACTTTCCTTCTCGCCGATCTTTGCGTGCGTCCCTGGTTACTCGCCATACCAGGTCGTTTTTATAGAATTGTCGTGGACTGATTCTGGAGTTGAATTTTCTAGCCATCATTCTTTTACTAGCCTCGGTCATAATGGCAGCGTGGTCACGTATTTCATCTATTAAGTCCAGGTTGACGGCCAGAGCCTCTTCATTAGCCGATTCTTTGAAATTCTCCCTCCTGAATGAGGGCTCTCCAATTTCTACTGGCACCATGGCATCAGTACCATAGGTAAGCCGAAAGAGGGTTTCTTTTGTTGTGGTCTGCGGCGTGCACCAATAAGCCCATAATATCTCAGGCAGCTTCTCTGCCCACTCTCCCTTTGCCGAACCCAACCTCCTTTTTAATTCATGTAAGATCACTTTGTTTGCGGCCTCGGCTTGGCCATTCGTCTGAGGATGTTCAACAGATGTAACTCGGTGTTTGATATGCAGGCCTTCCAGGAACTCATTGAACCGACGATT